GGCCATTGCTAAGCTTGTTTATTCCCTTCGCTCGTCCCAGGAAGCTTTTCTGGACCAGATTCCGATAAGACTGGCATCGCCATGGCCGACATCCAGTGTCTTCTGGATAAGGAAGGCGCCTCTGAGCTCGTGATCGACGTTATCGTGAACACCAAAAACGACAGGATTTTCTCAGAGGGCATTCTGCTGGGCATCGCCTTGCTCGAAGGAGGAAACACGCAAACCCAGGTACCTGTTTGTCGTCATGGGCCTGCCATTTGTCAAGTGCCTTTCTTATTTCCTTGTCAGAGCAGCCCAGGGCAGCCGTGATCGTCTCTCGCTGTTCATTACTGCCTCGGAAAGAAAGCCTCCAAGGACGTTTTCCTTAGACGTTTATCTGACTTGTTATAGAGTCGACGGAGCTGCGCAAAGTTCTCAGTAAAACCGACAACTCCTTAGGCGCCTACTTCTTAAACCAGAAATTTTGATTTCTTTAGAGAAGTTTTAGGTCAAACTCCTGAAGATAAAAATAATACTTTGACTCATCGAATAATTAAGTGTGGGATTAATTAAAGGAGGCAATATGCGTTTCCTCGTAGCAGGCTATTTGGCATTATTACAGGTTTTAGTAGCGCTCACAACCCATCTCACCACCACCCACATATACCTTTTCAGAAGTTTAGTTCCGACTTGTCACCCCAAATCTCACAGTGATCATTACCCGGATAATTGCATGTTCTAAAAATGTCACCCTATCAAATATATTTAAAAATCAAAATAAAATATGCTTTAGTAAGTGAGTTTTTCACTGCTTGGGTAGAGAGGAACTACTGGAAAAATCAAATCCCACTTCTCACACCAACATTGAAAATCAAACTCCACGTCTCTGACAGTAAAATGCAATGATGAGTTTAACTCAATTCAGTTCTCATTTGTGTTTCCTTCTGTTGTACTTCTGTTCTGACACCTGCTGTGTATGTGTCACTTTTCCTCTTGACCTTGACCACCTGGAGCTAGGTCAGATCTCACCAGTTAAAGGACACAACCCTGCACACTGCCACAGCTGCCCAGAAGCTCAAATGCCAGCCATGATGTCACTGCTCACCTGGGACTGCTGCCTTCAAATTTGAGGTTTTTCCGCCATCCCTTCATGATTCCAGTGATAAACTCAGAATCACAGAATTTTACCACCTCTGTCCTGCTAATCCCACTACTCCCTTGGGTTAGATAACCCACTAAAATGACTCACAAGACTCATGAAAAGTACTATAGGAGGGGGTACCCAACAAAACCCGGAGAAAGCTCCTTGGGCACAGCTTTCGTCGTCCACAGCATTTTTGCCACTAGGTGAGCATCACTTGAGCTTGATGCTGGTGGATCCTGTCGCCTTGCATTGCTTGCTTGCCAATATCCCGATCTGGGCTTGCCTCGCTAAGCTCCTGAGCTACTGACTGTTGGTGACCCACCCTGCTGCTTGCTGCCTGTGGGCAGACTCTGCTTGCC